CTCTGCCTGTTTAAAATCTTGTCTATCAAAGCAACGTTAATAACCCACAGTGATTCTGCATGTAAATACACATGCTTAAAAAATATATGGGAACGGTAGATACGTGAGTGTGAATATACGAACCCGTGTGTAGACCTTTCTTATAATATGTTTGCCATACAAGCTACTGTTTTACTACAAGCTATAGCTTTCATTCAGGCATCATCAGGTCACGCGCCCCGTACATCCACACCGGCATATATAATGTACACGTGCAGCAACGTTTAATATATAATAGTGGGGAGGGGGCTTCTATATACAAATCCTTGACAGTTAATGTTGAACGGAGGGAGGGAAAGGGGAAAATCTTCCGGTATTAAAAGCTTTTACAATAGGTTACCTCGCCATCTACAACTTATCTTTCAACCACAATAGTAATGATAGTGATAATAACCACCACCATGTGGAAAGCGTCTCTCGCGTACATGCATCCAGACGCCTTGGACCGTAACCCGATTCATCCCCCGCCCTCTTCTGGAAAACTTTAGAGAAAAGAAAGCACAATTCATATTGCATTTTCCCGGCTGAGATAAGTAGCCTTGACATATCGAAGGCGGGCGAAGGAATCCAGAATGGCCGCTTATAGATTTGGGGGGGGGCGGGGGAGGGGGGTAAAAGGAGAAATCCCCAGAAGAGCCTTAAGGAAGGCAAAGAGAGGACAAAACTCAGCATTTCTCTTTCATGTTTCAGGGGAGGGAATCGATCCCCCTCCCACACCGACATCGCTGCAGCATCTATCCACCCCCAGCCCGGCGCCCCCTCCCATCCCCGTTTGCACTGTACGTTTCGCTTTCTGAACCCCCGACGTTTTGCAACACCGCCTCGACAGAACGCCATCCATCCTTGATATGGAATGCAGAGAGCGGTTGACAGCCCGGGCGCGCAGTTACCCCCCCCCCCGCCCGCTCGCCCGCCCGCCCCGCTCCGCCAGGATTGATTTACGCCTGCCCTGACGCTTTATCAGCCTCACGAAAAAAGTTTGACCAATCATTTTGCTGGAAGCTCCCAACCCGGCAGTCCCGACTGTACTTTTTCTTGGCTGGGAAGTTGATGCTGGAGGAGGAAAGGGGGTTAAGCGAGAGTGTCGCCTGGTTTGGTGTTTTTTTTTGTTTTGTTTTGTTTTTTTCCCCAACCAGCTCCCCCCTCCCCGCCCCGTATACTCTAATATCTGTACAGCAGCTTAACTAGAGATCTACTCCTTATTTTTTTTATTGCTTGTTCGCTCGCTCGCTCGCTTGCTTTCCCCTTCATTGAACCGTGGTGCTCGTAGGATGTCCAAGAATGTCAATTTCTGGAACTCTTAGCAATTACTATGTCGACTCCATTATAAGCCATGACAACGAAGACTCTCCCGCCGCTAAATTCTCTTCCGGGCAATACTCAAACTCCAGGCAAACTACCCACACCGAACACCTCGAGTTCCCCTCCTGTAGTTTCCAGCCCAAATCCTCCGTTTTCAGCGCTTCCTGGACGCCTCTGCCGCCACACACTGCTGCTACCCTTCCTTCGGTCTACCATCCCTACCTCCAGCATCAAAACATCCCTACCTCAGAGAGCAGGTATCTACGAAGCTGGCTGGAGCCAGTGCCCAGAACAGAAAATATAGCAGCTGGGCAGGGACCAGTTAAAACAGAACCGCTGCTGGGACACCCCGGGGAGATCCGTAAACAGGGGACACAGGAGTACCACTTAGACCCTTCTGCTGGAAGGGAAGGGACCGCTTCCAGTCAAAGGCCCAGCTTCGAGGACAATAAAGTTTGTGAAGGAAGCGAGGACAAAAGCAGGCCAGATCAAAGTAAGTTATAAAAAGTGAGGAAGTAAACATCATAAAAACCTAAGAGGGGGGTGTCATAAAAGGCACAATGGGCAAGGGAAGCTTTAAAAAAAAAAGATTTTAAAAGAGAAATCTCCCCCTTCCCCCCCCCCCATCTAAGCCACTGGTGTTAAATCTAGGACTGGGGGTTCTGGAGCGGGTGGTTTTGCCCGGCTTTTAGTGTATTGTTGGAAGTGAAATAAGCGTGGAAATTGGGCAGTGTGGGTTGGAAGGGACGCGGTTCGACTTTACTTGCAGCCGGTGGCGTGAGGAAGGGACAGTTGCTTCGCGAGCTTCGGTTGTATGTATAAAAATTGGCGGTGGTGGAGGACAACAATAATAGATTGGGGAAGTATTGAATGAGCCTCGGTGTGTGTGTGTGTGTGTCCGTATGCTTCTTTGGAGAGAGGCTAAAGGAGGAATAGACGGGAGAATGAAAATAGTGTGGAAAGAGGATCCCATTAAGAACTAAGAAGGGAGATTCAATTCTCCAAGTGTCCTTATTTACCTTGAAGGATCCCGATCCCTGGTAGCGTGCGCTGTCTTCTTTGTTTATTGTTGTTTGGGTATGAAATGTACACCCCCGCGTGGGTATGAATATTTCAGACCCAATGCCTTCCCTTCTCCCTCCCCAAAACTGAATCAATAAATAAAAGAAGCAAGCTTTATTAGGAGTTTTTCTTTGTTTTAAATTTATTAAGAGGATCATATTATAAACTTAATCATGTAGGCTTCTTTCTGCAATTTGAACACTATTATCTCTCCCCGCCCTCCCCCACAGGCACCTTCGAGGAAAAATATTGTGAGGAAACCTGGAGTAGGATGGGATGGATCAAGAATGGAAATTAAATCAAAATTAATGCAAATCTTCTTTTGTTCTTTTTACTTATAATGCAAGGCGAATTTCTCGGCTTCTTTCTCTTTGCCTTTTGCCCAATGCCGGGGATATTTCCAACAAGAGAGTTGACTTCAGTATTGTGATACATGCGGATTCCCTAATAGTTTCAAATCAGGATGTAGGTTATTTCATTCACAAGGTGACTTTCCAAGAAATTTATTTATTTATTTCCATTATTGAAGGAAAGGGGGTGCCAGTGATGGTGATGATGATGACAACAATTTTGTATTTGAATTTTTCTCAAATTTAAATATTTGAAAAAATGGGGAAGATTGAAGAGAAAAGCTTTTTCTGGCTTCTACTCCCTCCCCTCCTCCCCTTCCCACCGGCTCCAGAATGGAGGGGGAGAGAGAGAGAGAGAGAGTAAAAAGAGAGAGAGAGGGAGAGAGAGAGACCTTGCTGAGAAAAGGCTCGGTTCCCAGAGATCCAGACTGTCCACCGGTATCGGAGTCAAGTTCGGTGGGGTGAAGATGCGGAAAAGGTAGAAATGGGGGGGGGGAAGCAAAAGAAGAGAAGGACCCCATTTGCCCCAGACAGAAGTTAGGCTTTCACCTCTGTGCAATTCAGCTTCTTTATTGACAGAAAAGCATTGCCTTGAGTCTAATACACACCCTGTCTTTATATGTGCATGTGTGCTTTTGTGTATGTATTTATGAATGTGCATTTGGTGTTAAGAATAGCCTACTAACTAAAACTCCCGCCCCTCCTTCTTTCTTCACACACCTCTCCTCTTCCTTCCTTCTCTTGTTTTGTTTTGTTTTGTTGTCTTTTGTTTCCTGTTTGAGGAATTGTGTGAAATGAAAAATAAACTTGTTTTCCTGTGCCATACCTCATCTTTTCATGAAATGCCAAGAAATCACACCCACATCCATATCCCTAAAAAGGGGACCATTGTGGAGAATTCCTTCCCTTGCCATTGAAGATAGGTAGCAGTATTAATTATTAACAAAAATGACTTTCTTTAATATTTAATTTTTTGCTTATTAGAGTCAGCCACTTCTGTGAAGGAAGTAATTGCTAAGATTAGGAAGAGAGTGGAAACTAAGTGTGTGTGTGTGTGTGTGTGTGTGCTTGTTGTGTGTTTTGAGAGAGAGAGAGAGAGAGAGAGAGAGAGAATGGATTTCATTTTATCCAGGGAGAAATGGCGGCCATACCCCCTCTTGCCATTCAACAAGAATTCAGACCTGCAAGGCTGCTTTTAATTTCAGCAGGAGGCCAGGAAACCAGGCAAGAGGCTGGCTTTTCTGCTGCAGCACCCCCAGCCCCTTCCCTTGGTAGCAAAATTCCCTGTATGTGAAAGAACCCAGTTACTAATGGATTAAGCTAGTTTGGCTCTACATGAACAGCACAACACACACACTCACACCCAGCTGCCTTTTTTTGTTTTGTTTTGTTTTGCCTTTGGTGGAGAGGTGGCCACATCAGACCTACTGTAGTCTCGAGTAAATCTATTTACTCACCTCTCGCATTTTACTGACTTGGCTTCTAGTCACAATGTTGGTCTTTCTCTGCCCTTTATAAAAGGTCTCATGAATTCTCCAATGCAGGGCTCTTACTTCTGAAACTCTGCTTGTCTAAAATAATATCCATGGGCAGAAGGCACCATATGCCACTGCTGGGGAGACTGTTGTGGCTTTCAGGAGAAGATACCTCCCCTCTCCGTTTGATCCCCTACTTTGCTGGGTTAGGAGTTATGGGTGAAAACACGGGCAATATGTTTCTCTCTTGTAAGAAACAAAAGAAGGAATGAATGAATTTCTATTTTATGGAAATATAAATGGATGGAAAAATATGCCTTTCACACCAATTTTTAAAATATGTGTGTGGATTGTTTACCTATCCAAGTACCATATAAATAGATTCATTTAAAACATTTGAATAAAGGACCATCTTCTTCCTTCCTTCCTTCCATCCTTCCTACCTACCTACCTACCTTTCTGTCTTTTATATGTAAATAGATATAATCTTCCATCTCTGAAATAAATTACTCATTTTGATTTTCCTTTCCCCCCTTTCCTTTCTAAAGTCTTATTTGCTAGTTGCATGTCAAATATGACTGCAGATATATTTTGTACATTTACTTTTCCAACATTATATTATAGATAAGACTTGGTAGGTCTCCACTGCACATGAGCTTGTCTTCAAATAATTCAAAACTTGATCCAAAGAGATTTTAAGAAACTTGGAGGTTTTGGTGTCAATTCCTGAGTAACCTTGTTTTGTTGTTTTTTGTTTGTTTGTTTTTCTCAGGTAATCCAGCAGCCAACTGGTTGCATGCTCGTTCCTCCAGGAAGAAAAGATGCCCCTATACAAAATATCAGACCCTGGAACTGGAGAAGGAATTTCTGTTCAACATGTACCTCACCAGGGACCGTAGACATGAAGTGGCCAGGCTTCTGAACCTGAGTGAAAGACAAGTCAAAATCTGGTTTCAGAATCGCAGGATGAAAATGAAGAAAATGAATAAGGAACAGGGAAAAGAGTGAAACTTTCTTCTGCTTCCTCCTTTCTCTGTTCTACCCCAATTTTCATCCCCCCCAAACTTAGATGGTTTTTGATGGTCAATGACTTCCTTCTCAGCTGTGCTTGAGATGAGGACAAAAGCAAGCAAGCCAGAAAGAGGCCTCTCCTGCTTGACAGGAAAAGGATTCAGAAGACTACACATGCTTGTTTCCATTTGACAACCTTCCCACTTTTAAAATATATTTACTGATCACTCCAGTAAGGGACAATAAGTGGGGTGGGGGATGCTATGCACTGAAAGGTAATTGTTGATAGGCAATAGTCTGTAAGCATAGCTACTTCTTTTGTTTGTTAGACTTTCCCAAACCTGAAGCCTTCCAAATAGTGTGAGCTTCAAATCCCCCCCTCCTTACCATAATAAATAAAAATGGGGAGAATTGTAATGCAAGGCATTGGATAGGCAGCAATTGGAAGAGGGTTGCTTTGAATGCTATTGATTAAGCCAAGAAAAAGAAAAAAAAAAGGCTGACCTTAAACCTGTCATCAAGTAAGGACACGTCCCCCCCATCCCCAGGCTGGAACTGGATTGATCCAGGAGCAACAACTATACAGAGGCCCAAGTGAAGGATATCCCAATTCAACCTCCTCATCACATTCTTTTTCTTAAGGCAAATAAGATCTCCCCTCTGTTCATGGAGTACAAGGAGGAAAACTCCAGGAAAACATTTATAAACCACTAACTTTTTGAGGGCTTGCATTCAGAAGGCATCTCTCTTTCCTCCCTTAGCCTATCAGATGAACAACTTTTAGAAAGAAAAATATTTTAGTCACAATGTTGCCCCAAGCAATGCCCAAACTTTCACCAGACATCCAGGGAAAACATTCCCTGGCTTGCTTATTCCTTTCCTTCTCTTTATTTGACTTTGGAGAAAATTCAACCTTCCACTAAGGCATTTTTAAGGAGAAAAAGAGGGTCAGAAAGCTATAATCTTTGAACTGCATCTGAAGCTAGATACCTAAATGTGTAAAAGCAAGGGACTCTTTGCTTTTGGTATCTATAATTTATTAAGGACAAGAGTTATTCAGAAGGGCACTCAAGTACCAAGTGTGATAGAGGGTCTCTGAGTCAACCCTCATTTATCCGGTTTCACAGAGAAGTTTTAATACTTGAATGTTGTAGGTTCCTACCCCTCTCCTTGTCTTGGAGCACGTTTCACATTTAAAGGAACAGGAACACGGGAGTGACCCAAAAGGGTAGTTGATTGCTTCTGAGCTAGAAATTGCTTCTTTTGATTCTTAATACTTTTTATACCATCATTGTTTACAAACAGAAAAACAGTCCCATTAAATAAAAAGGGGGTTCCATGTCTTTGTTAGCCCCATTCTCCACTTTTAAATAATCAGACTTGGGATTCTGTTTCCTTTATGACTATTGAAATGAGTTCAACCCCAACCTTTTGGAGGACTGGGATGCAATGGGGTTGGGGAGAGGGGGGTAGGTAAGTTACTTTAGTGCAAGGTGCATATATGGTTTTGGGAGGGCTCTTCTGTCGTTTCTGTAGGGAAAACTTTGTGAATGTGCTCTTGTGAAGGTTCCTCTTGTTTTCTGTGGCTTATAAGAATGTAAAATGGGGCTTAAACCACTTTAAGCTTTTAAACAGTTGCAGAACCAGACATGGCTCTACATTTCTAAACTGATTTCCATTGCTATTATTATGCACTCCCACTTTTTAGAAATAACACCATTCTACTGGTGAGAAATTTTCATAACATAACAGGGATGAGAAAGAGGGGAGGGGAAAAATATTTGCCTAAATGTAAGGCTCTTTGTAGACAGAAATCCCAGAAGAAAAATCTAATTTCATAGAGTGATGTACAGAATTTTTCTACCACTTTTTTTGTCTGCCGTCATTCTTTCAAAATTTGATAGGCAGATTTTAACTTTACATTTCAAATAGCATTGCCTGGTTTGAAGGATTTTCTGAAATGGCAAGCAAATAAATCTTTTACTCCAGCACATTTTTAACAATATTTTAGTGGGTTTTTGAAAAATTGCTTGGGGGGGGGGAGAAACAAAAACTTGAAATGCCCACATCCAAGGCAAGTTGTCTTAGATCAGGAAAGAAGGATTGCTGGGCAAATCCTCTACAAAGCTAACAAATTGTTGCTGCGGGAGAAAAATATAGGGCATACCCATGGCTTAAATTCTGCTAACTTCATACTGTTTTCAAAACCAATTTTACATTGGATTTTTAAAGAAAAAGTCTGAGCTTCTGCATTTATCTATTTAACTTCTCCTAATAAAAAGAAAGTTGGAGGTATTGTTTGGTTTTTAGATAGGATTGCCAGCATTAGAGAGCCTATTGCACCCCAGCTGGGTTGTGGGAGGACTTGAGATGGTTTGGGGTTTTATCGCGGCATTTTTTATTTGCCTCCAATAATTCTCAAGGCCGATCAGACACCCTGAGCGTTGCAGAAAAACTGCTCTGAAATTCTTCCAAGATTAATATAAACATTTTGTAAAGAAAAACATTCTCCACACATGTATTAGCATATTAACTGATTTTAGTCATAGATGCCTTCCTAGACCTTATTAGTGAAGACAAGAAATGTTTTTGAAAGCTGCATTTTTGGTAACGCATGGATTAATAAGAGAAACTAGTTGATTTCATTAGAAAAAAAAGTCTCTCTGTAGAGGAAAAATGTTGAAAAAATTAGTTTCTTCAGTTCTATAAGGTCAAACTGTATTTTCCACAGTTCTTTAATCCCACAGAATAAAAATCAGTTTAAAGGGGACCCTGACCTATATCTCATTGTGTTATATGCCTTTTTCTAAAACTGCAGAAATATTTGCACTTGTGTTTGTTTTTCTTTAATGGCTCTTTAGTGTGTATTATAAAGATCTTTTAGATTTGATTTGGTTTGTTGGAGATTCTCTCCTTTGTCCTTAGAAAAAGCTCATTCTCAGTGTATTTTTATTTCTTTCCTTGTAAAGTCTGCTCCATCTCTAAATCTCTTCAGCAAAACAGAAATAAAGCAGTTCTCTGTCTTTCAATATGTGCCTAAAAGAGTCTTTCTTGCTACTTTTACACCAGAAAACAAAATAAAACATAAAGGACCCATGAATGAATGAGGGAATATATATGAGTGAATGAATGTGATGTTTACATAAAGAAAGGTGTAGACAGTGAAGGTTGTTTTCCACAGGGATGGAAGGATGATGATCCAGAATTCTTCAGAGAAGGAATATTTTTCAATGCCCAGTAATTATCTGGTAATTTTTATCAAAAAATAACTCAGATTAAAAGAATAATATTTTGGATTTTGCCAAAGCCATCTGGATATCTTTATACTCTATTCAAAAGAAAATCATGCATTGTTGTTTCCATTTTTGTTTATGTCCAAAATCCACATAATTGTACAACTTTTTGAAAGGTTATGAAGCCTTTGTTAAAAAACAACAAGCAAATTATCTCCATTACCACAGACATGCATGCATGTATGTATATGTGTGTGTACATGCGCACCCGTGTGCACACACACACACATGAATATATATTCTAAAAAAAATGAAATGATTGCTAAATGCTGGGTATTACTGGAGTAGAAGTAGGAAAGTAGCTTGTCATAAAAGAGAGAAGAAAACTCTGCGTGGTAGGCTGCAATAAAAGAATATGACCACCATAAAACTTTATAGGGTATAAATTTCTGAAGGTTAAGGAACTAAGCGACTGTAAAGCAAACAAGAGTAGGAAACTTTCAGAAGCTCCTAAATTACCAGAATGTCTTTCTATGGTGGGGGAAGAGGAGGAGGAGGAAGAAGAAGAAGAAGCAAAGATGTATTTTTGTCTATTTCATGCAGAAATAAGAAAGATTTAAAAAGAGGGGGGAAATGAAACAGGGAGGAGGGAGGACAGAAAGAAAGCATTTCTTAATGTATCCAAATCCTGTGGGTTCTTTGTCCAGGCGTTTCTTATCACTTTCAAGTTGCCAGCATCCTGGATCATAAACTCTCAGCAACACCCCCTTTCTCCCCCTCCCCCAACACCCTATCACCATCACCACCAAATGTAGACACACACTCAAAGTCCTGGCCAGACGTCTGGTTTTGAAAAGCTTTTTCTGCCCTCTTTTTAATCTATTTACAACCCAAGCTTTCCCTTCCAAAGCAGAATACTTCAATTGTTTAGTCTCCAGCTTTAAAACAATGGTGGTTTTTCAAAAGCAGAATCCCCGGTCTCTGTCTTTTATTGCCCTGAAAACGACCGGATGGAAAGCAACGCCGTAGAACTAACCAAGAATTCTGAGGAGGCAGGAGGCGACGGTCACTTTCAGAAGAAATCCTATACACTCCTCCATGATTTATCATAGGTAACAACCCTTTAAAATGCACACAATGGAAAAGATGGGATCCATAAAAGCATCACAACCAATCTCCCTAACCATCTTTGCTTATTATCATCTATTATTTTTACGGGCGTCTTACTTCGAATGGTCGTTAGATGGTGCTATCACTCCATGGCAGAAATAACCGGGCCGCAGTGTCTTTCTCTCGTGAGTCTACAACACCTTGATTTCATTACGAACAATAAACGGAATTGTTGCTCGAAACTATTGTGAATAAATCCCCAAGCATAAAATATAGGACTAATCATGGCGATCTTTCTGGAGCGTTTCTTCTCAGAAGGTATAAATACTCGGCCCATTGGAAGGCTAGCAAAGAAGGAAGGATGAAAACTTGTCACACAAAGGCCGTGGAGAAGATCTCCTGCACACACTCCGAGCCAAAGAAGGGGAGTTTGTATAATTGTTTCTGCGCAACCCCATTTGTCTTAACAGAGCTTTGTGGGAACAATTTAATGCTGAACTTGTTACCCAGGGTATGATTAAACGTGTGTGTTC